TTGTAAGTGATGGGGAGGCTGAGGGAATGGCGGCGCCGCGGGAGGCTGGGGGAATGGGGGCACCATGGCTTGCCGCTGACTGACCTTCTTTCCGCACTCCTAGGCACTCGGGCCGAGACCAGCAGCCGGGTCACCGGCAAGGAGGGCTTTGAGGCCGATGGCGTCCAGGGCTTGAAGGCCTTGGGTGTGCGAGATCTTTCCTACCGGCTGGCCTTCCTGGCGTGTCACGTGGCTCCCACCAACCCCCGGGTGAGCGGAGGGGGGGGCTGTAGTGATGACGAGGAGGGGAATAATAATACTCATGCAGGAAGTTTAAGCCCTGAAGTATCTAGTAGGTAGGTAGGTAGATCTTTATTGGCATTTACACAGGTACAGGTCAGTACAAGTACATTGGAATTCTTTTTAGGCAGTGAAAGTGTGTCGTTCGCTGCTGGAAGGATTAATGGCCGTTTCCTAGTTTGGCGGGAAAGAGCTCCGTCAGGAGGACCAGACGGCTGAAAGCGTCAAGAACCAGATGACTGTCCAGGAGTGGGAGAAGGTCTTTGAGATGAGCCAAGACAAGAACCTCTACCACAACCTGTGCACCAGTCTGTTCCCCACCATCCATGGTGAGCTGGGGCCGTGCTTCTGTAAGAGAGTCGCTGCCCGTAACCTAAACACCTCTGATACTGATTATATAATCCACCCGTTAGTCTTCACCTTGGTGGCACCTTAGTCAGCTTCTCATGGTGTTTGATTGCAGGAAATGATGAAATTAAAAGGGGAATATTACTCATGCTGTTTGGTGGCGTTGCCAAGACAACCATGGAGGGGACGTCCCTACGAGGGGACATCAACGTGTGCATCGTAGGAGATCCCAGCACGTCCAAGAGTCAGTTCCTCAAGTGAGCACCGGCCCGACCCTGTAACCGGCCCGTAAACCTTTATGGTTTTATCGTGTTGTCTAGCTCGGCAAAGTCAGTTCAGTCCTTCCTGGCGATTTCAGTAGTCAGTGTCCTCCATACAGTATATCCTCCTCCTGCAGACATGTGGAGGACTTCGCCCCCCGGGCCGTCTACACCAGCGGGAAGGCTAGCAGCGCCGCCGGGCTCACGGCCGCGGTGGTGAAAGACGAGGAGTCCCATGAGTTCGTCATCGAGGCTGGCGCCCTCATGCTGGCCGACAATGTAAGAGCACGACCGGGGGGGATGGGGGGGGGGGGCTCCCTGGTTACCGTGGTTACTCACGCCAGCTTTACTACAGGCCCGTGTCCTTCACAGGGCGTCTGCTGCATCGATGAGTTCGACAAGATGGATCTCAAAGACCAGGTGGCCATTCATGAAGCCATGGAGCAGCAGACCATCTCAATCACCAAGGCGGGGGTCAAGGTAGGGGGGCCTTCGCAGTGAAACCTGACGCGGATGTTTAGTGTTCCTCCTAAAACAAGTATGTCCAGGCTGCTGGTCCCCGTACATGTGCAGAGCAGGTTTTCCTGCTACAGTCAGCAGTCTGGTAATTGAATGTTTCCAATCCATTCACTGCTGGCTTGGTTTGGTGTTTATATCCAACTCCATTGGTTTCATTCACTTAAGTGGAGGTTGTTTTACCTGTAGCTCGTTGCCTCTTTGTCAATAGGCGATATATGTCTGTTTATGGCTATTTTTGGAGGTTTGGAATCACGCCTGTTGAAGGCACCTCGGGCAGAGACTAATGGCTTTACGGCGACTGTCTGCAGGCGACGCTGAACGCGAGGACGTCGATCTTGGCGGCTGCGAACCCGATCGATGGCCGGTACAACAGATCAAAGTCTCTGAAGCAGAACGTGAACATGTCCGCCCCCATCATGTCGAGATTCGACCTCTTCTTTATTCTGGTGGATGAGTGCAATGAGGTGCGTGCCATCTGAAAGCAGTGCTCTCTTCAGTTTAACTCGGTCTATCAAGATGTGCAGTAACATCTTAAAAATATAATTATAAATGCGAAGTGTAGAAATCGCGGAATATAGACTTGGGAAATATTCTAAACCATGAATAGTGAGAGTAGCGCGTCAGTTTTTGTCTCAGATCTTGTATCCTTGATTTGCTTCTTCGCTAACGGCCGTGATACTGTGTCTACCGCATAACTTTGGCTTAATTTCCACCTCACGTCTAAGATTTCCTGATTCCACCTAACATTTTTGACTTGTGTTGAGGCTGCTGTCTGGTCACAGCTGGTCAAAATAATTGTGTTCAGACTCGTTATTTTGTGGCTAGAGTTTAACCAGGTAGGCTGTGTAAGTGTAATTTGCTCTATGCACTTAGCGCAACATTAGCTTGACTAGTAGTAAAATGTCAGCTCTGTGGCTCAGGTTACAGATTACGCGATCGCACGGCGCATCGTCGACCTGCACTCCAGGAACATTGAGTCTGTGGAGAGGGTTTACAGCCCTGACGAGATACAGAGGTACATTCTCTTCGCTCGCCAGTTCCAGCCCAAGGTGAGCGAGTCGGGCTCTCCGCCGTCTTGCTTACAGTGCCGTCTTGCTTACAGTGATCATCATGTTACCTTGACTTCAAAGCCACAAACCATCCTGTCATTTTCCAGCTTTACCTATTATTATGGTCGTTTTGCTTTTTGTAAATTACAAATCGCTGCTGTGGGGAAGGAATGACGGGATGGACAAAATACCGCGTTCCTGTGCAGAGAGCGGCGTGTTTTATGCCGGATCCCCCTGCAGTGATGCAGGCATTAAGCAGAAGAGGCCATTTTAACTGCAGTACCTCCCATTCCGTTCCAGCGTCTTGCAGTTGCTTACCCTGTACAGGATCCTGTGCTGCTTATTTGATATTTTGTGCTTGTTATTTATTTGAAGTTATAAAAGAATTTGATTCAGCTCTGCATGCTTTTCTAAACAAGCTGAAACTGGCAGTGACCGTCAATAAGTGGACCTTTGCATCAATATTCTGACTCAACTCATGCTTTCTGATGGTCGGTAGATGAGGAATGATGGATGGATGGATGGATGAATCATCACCAATCTTATGTGAAGTCAGTTGTGCTGGAGACCTATAAGATCTTATTTGAGGAACTTCCTGTGCCCCTATGCATTGTGGGTGGTCTGCACAGTAGCCTTTTGCCAAATAAAAACTTGAAAGCATGGGTTTGGCGACATTGCATGTGGTAGAGCTTCTAGCTGATGCCGTGTCCTGGGTTCTGGCTCCCCCTGTCTGTGCCGGCTGGCACTGCGGGCCCAGATCACCAGGGAGGCGGAGGAGTTCGTGGTGGATCAGTATAAGCGCCTTCGGCAGAGAGACAGCAGCGGCGCCACCAAGTCGGCCTGGCGCATCACCGTCCGGCAGCTGGAGAGCATGTTGCGGCTGTCTGAGGCCATGGCCCGCATGTACTGCTCTGACGAGGTTAGGGCTGTGACCACAGGGGGGCGCTCTCTGCCTGGGACACATGGGGTGTGTGTGTATTATTATAGTATAATATAATCTGCGAGTGCCTTAATTAACAGTGGTTTAAGTGGTTTTCATACAAGAATTCTCAGCAGTGACTGGGTCTGGTCTGTTCATTTTAACATTATATAGAATTATAGCTTTATACATAACTATAAATGTAACTGCAGTTTATAAAGGTACATCTACAGTTCTGCTCTTACATGCGTTTCTCGTCCCTGCAAGGTGCAACCCAAGCATGTGAAGGAGGCTTTTAGGCTCTTAAATAAATCCATCATCCGTGTGGATTCCCCCGATGTCAACTTCGATCAGGAGCCGGAAGCGGATGAGAGCGGTGAGCGTCTTCCCGCGTCTGTGCGGGCGCCGGGCGTCCAATCTGTTACAGCCTCAGTCCCATCCATGATGCCGTGATTTTGAGGTGGTCTGCACCGTGTACCGGGCTCTTTGGTCCCGCTGATGGGCGTCTCTGCTCCCCTCAGATCAGAATGACATGGAAGAGGAGGATGTGAGACCGGCCACAGTCCCGGCACCGGCCCGACCCGACGAGCTCTGGAAGGCCGGCGTTCCCAAGCCCGCCCTCAGGATGTCCTTCGCAGACTACAAGAAGGTCTCCAACCTGCTGGTGCTGCACATGCAGAGGATGGAGGAGCGTGAGTGTCCCCAGGAGGTGACGGGGGCCCGTGGGGGGGGCACTGAGGGTCCCACCAGCCGTACAGCAGAGCCACATGTTAGCATGATGATGATAAAATGTCCGCAAATGCTTCAGCGTCAGTACGGAGTTGGAAATGGTCCTTTTCAGTTAATGAGGAATCCTCCCTGAAGAGGAGCGAGCTGGTCAACTGGTACCTGAAGGAGATGGAGGGCGAGATCGAGTCCGAGTCCGAGCTCATCGCCAAGAAGAACCTGGCGGAGAAGGTCATTCACCGGCTCGTTCACTATGTAAGTGCGGCTCGGCCAAACGGCGAACTGGGCCTTTCTGTTCCCATCGCGGTGTCTCCATTCCCTCCATCCCCATCAGGACCACATCATCATAGAGCTGACAAAGACGGGGCTGAAGAAGATGGACAAGGGGGGCGAGGAGCCCGTCATAGAAGAGGACCCTCTCTTAGTCGTCAATCCTAATTACGTGCTTGAAGACTAACTGCAGACGTATATCTATGATGTGCATAAGTAGACTAGAGTCCTACATGCAGGTGGCAGCTGTGCTGGTTGAAGATTCTCTATTAAATGCTAAATATCTATGTCTGGGGTAGTAGTACAATAAATGTATTTTTGCATACCCGGCGTGTCTGTGTTTCTTTGGGTTTTGTATGCGTTATACTGCACTTTGGAAAGGGCTTTATAAAGTTTACTTACTGCCTCATATTTAGCAGTCGGCGTTATGGAGCCGTTTTCCCTGTAAACCAAGGAAGCATGAGAATAACCTGCCTAAGGAATCGATGCCGCTCTCGCCTCGCTGCACGCGCCGCCGAGGGTAACTGCTCTAGGTCGTGCCACTCGCCAGTCGGATGATTTTCGCTTGTATTATTAATTGGCGTAGGCTGTTCCAACAGCTGAAACAGCTTCTCTGGCGTCCACTAGATGGCAGCTTGAGCCTATGATAGTACTGTGTTGCCGATGCGTAAAGTACTTTTACTTTTATTGCATAACTATTAGTATAAGGCCGTAATTACATATTGAATATTTAGATGTGCTCACAATACCCCCCCCCTCCCCCGCCAAATATATAATTACGGCCTTGGGCCCCCAGTGTTTACACCATGGCTATGGCCTTGTATTGGTGTATGATTAGTATCCGTTGACATATTAAAAATTTGTGTAGAAAATTGCTTTTTGTTTATTTACTTCCTGGTTTGCTTGGTTGTACCACAGAAACTCAATTTATATCGGACCTCTTCTACGGAGGTGTGAGTAACGTAATGTCCCAAGCTGTATATAGGTCCTGTGTTCACGTTGTTTTTAAGTAAGGTACTAAATATACGGTTAAATATGAATGTCAAAAAGGAGGGGAGCCTGAAATGCGACTTGGCACATTATTCCGACCTGTTAATAGGCCTACATCCTGTAATCATGTGTTTCACTTTCTCTGATTGCTTCATAACAAAGCTCAGTCAGTAATATCAACGCGATTCTCTAGGAATTGTTGTGCTGCTTAATAATGAAATCTAAACACAGCCTTTGTTTGGGTTTATTTTCTGCTTATTTTGAGAAATATTGCTACCACTAAAACTACGGCCAAAACAGAAAACATGAGTCACGCAGGATGTGCTGTCCGCCCCCGAGTGAGTCATCGGCTTGCCATTTAATCCCATGTTCGGACCTTCTTCCTGGGACTGACCGGCGCTTTGTCCTCTAAGCACCCGGCCGGTGCCCTGGCACAGACCGACGCTCTATCCGCGAAGCACCTGGCCGGTGCCCTGACACGGACTGGCGCTCTGTCCGCTAAGCACCTGGCCGGTGCCCTGGCACGGACCGGCGCTCTGTCCGCGAAGCACCCGGCCGGTGCCCTGGCCTTTGCAGGGAGCCTCGTGCAGCGAGTATTAAAATAACCCCCATTCGTGTGTAGTGAGGACGTGCTGGCATTTCCCGGCCACTCAGTGAACGGATCCTCGGATGTGTTATCTATAAACACGTGGATTCCTGACTTCCTTTCCTACCTGCTGGATGTGCGGTCCTGGTAGGTTACATACCCCGTCTGGCCGGCTGTCAATTATCTGGGTTCGGCGGGCGGACAGAACCCTTTTGACGTATCAGAGCTCCAATCGCCCGCTGAAGATATCTGAACGGAGTGTTAATACCGGTCCCGTCCTGTCCGTCAGGAGTCACACAGCCCAAGTAATCGTCACGTCGTTTTCCACACGAGTGATGCAATAACCTGAATGAAGTATTTGCACTGAATTCCAGCAGCGCCGAGCAGGGAGGAAAATCACTTCCTAAGGATGCTTCTGCTTTCCAGCTCCTTGGTTTTATACAAAAATATATTAAGTATCAGTGAATTTAGTTCGCAGTTTTTTTCACCAGTATATTTCTGATAAGTGGCTTCGGTAAGTAAGCCCCATGAAAGAAACTGAATTACTGCAGTAATTAGATTTGGCAAAAAAAGAAATCCGCACATCGGGTCCGTGTGCCATGAAGTGGTGTCACTGGGCATTGTTCTGGATTGTTCTGCATTGCCAGTGGGCCGATGGTTCCTTCCAATGCTATAAAGGAGACCCCTCTCTCCTCCATGCAGTCACACCTCGGATCTATCCGCATGTCCCTAATGAAGCAGTATTCCTCTTTACAAGGCATGGCCTAAATATTTTATCATACTCCAAAACCACACGGACTATATCTGGCTGTGTTATAGGCCTATTGTACTAAATGCTCTGTGTACAGTATAATATTGTAGCATTTTGGAAATTAGTTTTTTTTATTATTATTACTTGACATATTTACCTGCAGGGCAAAATCATCATATGTTTTATCATTTTTCAACAACTGTCACTTTCTTACTGATTCACACTTCAGACCGAACTGTTTTGTCAGCTGAAACTTTTTAAGACTTTTTAAGAAACTTTTTGAAAATTGTTAAAAAGCAGGATCTTCGGTTTTAGAAAGTTATGGACTAATCTGGCAAAACAGTTCAGTTTTAAAGTAAATGCACTTAAGTTAACAGTCTTAATATGTCTCAATAGCTGATGTTAAGTGTGACTGAATAGTTTTTGCGATAGAAAAACATATATAACACATTTTTACAACATTTAATTTGTAAAGTTTTTCGGTAAAAATGTGTTTCTATTTTGCAATATGTTGAATTGTTATTATTAACCTGCGATTAAAAATTCTTAATCTTATAAATTGTAAACTAAATTCATATGAAGAAGTTTACAGGTAAATATTATTTATAATGTTTAAGTGTATGCAACAGAAGTACTTGTAACCAAAGTGCGTTAAATATAAAAATAATTACGTTAGATAATGTTGTAGATTTGGTACCGATATAGTGTGTTAACATGAGGCAAAATGAGCTTAAGCGCTCTACTGTTCAAGCATTAACTTGGGAAAAAGTCTTGGTCAACTTTTAATATTTGTGAAAGCAATGTTTACCCTCCATTTAAGGTTTAGTGAAGTATGATCGGTGACTATAGCCTTTGTGAAACGATGTAACCCCGAGACAAACAGCGGGAAAAGGCGTCAGCGAAATCCGCACGAAGACAAATAGGCCTATCACAAAGAAATGATTCTCTTAATATGAAATTTGTAGCGGGTTCCCACCAAAGAACTTGCCAGCCATTCAAATTTTTTTAAAGATGCCGTTAGTTTTAACTTGGTCAGGGTAAGTAGCCTACTGGTGTGGATCTAAATCCCAGTACTCACGAGTACCTACATCCACTTTCCCATATTCCGACTAATTATCGCATCGAAATTATTATGGATGACAGCACAAATAGTGGGTCGAAACTACACTTGCCGTTACTTGAAACGGCAGATGAATTGGATCAGTACCAGCCAGCTAAAGCGAACCGTAATGTTTATGAAATTGCTTACGCTACTATTCTAATTGCCCATTCAGCCTCATTTCGAAATAATTAAATCAAAATTACTTGTGTAATGGTGATATCGATCTCCAACCTTACTGAAGATGTAACAATTCATTATGCAATATTGGTGATAATATCCGTTTGTTTCCCTTAATCAGCATATTGCATAATGCTTCAATGCCTTAAGACACTGACTTACTTCAGTTGTGCCAATACGTTTCATCGCTTTGTTTTCCTTGCAGACTCGTCTGTAACTTGGGTTCATTTTCACCAAATATTATACTATGGGCTCTAGGAAACCCAAGCAAAGAAATCCGGAACTCCATCTGCCTTTGTACTCTAATGTCATACGTGGATCGGACTTTAAGGGAACTTAAATAGTAACGCACGCATTTCTCTCCAAGGTAAAACGCCATTCCACGTGTATTCTGTTTACTGTAGGGAAAACTTCAAATAACCCCCCCAAAGAACGTATGCCGGCCATGCACCCCCCCCCCGGCGTTCGTAGTGGACGGGGTTGCCTGCGATTCCGCCCCTCGATCGCGACCCCGCGTGTGTGTCTGTGTCTGTGTCTGTGGGTGTGTGTCTCTGTGTGTGTGTGTGTGTGTGTGCGCGCCCCCGTTTGCGAGGCCGGCCGAGTTGCGTGCGAAGAGCTCGCCTTGTCATTCAGAGGAATCCGCCACCTGAAACACAAGGAAGTGGAGGCGACCCGGGCTGCTATAAAGCATCCAGCACATCTGCCGTCTGACACGAAGCAGAAATACTCACTTCGAGTTTTTATTTTAACCAACCAAAAACATTCCTGTAAATTCACACTGAAACATTGAAAGTGCACAGGGACAGATAAACATTAATAGAGCTTTTAGGTAAGTGCTTTGTTACGTGCGTTATCCATAGCTAATGTTTTTGGGAAGTGCCATGCGGAGTCTGTAGTATATTTATAACTGCCGATTTAACTGTACTATTCTAATACGTCTGCATGTCAGTGTGACGGTATTCGTACCGTCTGTGAAATTGCTATTGGTGCTGTTGGTAAATAATGGTTAACACGCAGTCCACATGCTTTTCAAATGTATTGGACTAAGATATTAATATTTTCATGCATTCAATATATATTTTTTGCTAGTGATTTAGCTAATAGACACAAGCATGGCTGTCTCTGAGTCCTCCTTTTAGACGGTATTGCCTGTTGCCTTTACAAAAGTGTGAAAGGCCCGCCGACTTTGTTTTTTTCCTGTTAAAATATTTCTCATTTACCGGCTTTAGGGCACCTGTCACCCCCCCTGAGCGCGAGAGCATGATCCCGCCGGGAGACTGCATGTACGCCGGCCGCAAGCGACGCAAGCCGGTTCAGAAACAGTTAAGTATCCATGAAATTACCCTATATCATCATTACAAATAACGATTCAATCATTACAATTAATTTCAAATCAACACAGCTGCAATTTAAAAAAAATCATCAACTTTATCAAATTAACTCAATCGCCTAAGATTTATTGAGTTATTCCTAAACAAAGATACTCCGGCTACATTCAATAAATTATTTAAATTCATTTTAATAAGTGCATATTTTTGTTCTATATTTGTGGATAAAAGTACTCCTCATTCCACAGTTTTGTTTTATAAATTAACCAGGTTTATTTCAAGTATAACTTAAATATTTTAGAATTTTTGGTGAAATTTGGTGCCACTCGCCTGTGTAATCCACGATGTTAAAGTGATTTATGTAATCATTTTCAGATGTAGACTAAATTTGCATAATTCTGAACAAGTTAAAGTTTCTAACTGCAGATAACTCAATGGTAGCCTGTTTAACTGAACTGCAATATAAAATGGTCTTATGCCTAAAATATTTTCAAATTGATATGTATTTCACTGTTGAATACCTTGATGTGACTTCATGTTGTAATTTAATATATGACACTGGCTGTTTTTATTTGCAAATAAATATCTAAATAACTGGAAAATGAAAACAGTGGTAAGAAAACCAGATAAAATGTGTTTCACTTTTTACACCAAGGAGCATGTAATGTAATTGTTTGTTTTCACGTTTAACGTTATAGCGTTCCAAATAAAAGCATCAGTTCAATATTAACAGGGCTCTAGAAATGGAAGAAAAGTCACAGCTATATCATTTTAGTGGAAATAGAAGATGCTGTATTCTGATGGTGAGTTAAGACATTTTAGAGTATCTTCATCTGAATGGCTCATTTTATTTAGATAAAATGACGGTGTGCGATTAGGTGGCCGTCTCTCGCATGTGAAGATACTACAAAAAGATGAAATGGGCTGACAGTTGGACCTGCAGACACCAGAGCCCGGAAATGAAAGTCACACTCCCAGTTTATTTAAAGACGGGGGGGGGGGTCACTATGGCTAGCTGGGGGAAACCGTCCCTGGAGGATCAGGGCCGCTGTGTTCGAGCCGTACTGGTGCTGCACTGGGAGGACTGATGGTTTCTGTGGCGTCGTCAGGATGGTGTGGAAGCTGCTTCGCATGCAGTTACACCCCTTTAAACAGCTTTCAGAATAAGTTTTGCTTATTTGTTGGTCCTCACAGATGCAAAGTGATTTTCACTGCTGGTATTTCTCTGACTGGAGCTGTTTAGGAGTTGCTCTCGTGACCCGCTTGTGCGATCTTCCCGTGTGCCATGCCCCCTCACTACCTCGTGTGGAATCCTGGTGTCCTCAGCTGTGTCTAGTTGTTGTTAATTGATTCTGTGTATGAAGTGCTTCTGAGTCTGTCTTACCACTGTCCGGTCATTGACGTTCATGCTTGCGTTTCTGCCCTGTGTTTTGGTGATTTCCCCCGATTAAACCCCTATTTCCCCGACTTCACGGCAATCTGTGCTGCTTCCCTGAATGCCGTCCGTAACAGTTGCATTTTGCACCAGTGGACAGATCAGGCTGGTTAGATCCAGTGTGGACCAGCCAGCTTTCTGATTACTAGCTGGATATGATTTTTTTCCACTTTAAACGGGGAATTACTCATGTCATTCATGCTGGAAGCAACCTGATCTGTTAAGGTCTATTAAATAGGTCATTTACAGTAATTACTAAGTGGTGCTCAAAGTAACTCACAACTACGTAATTGGCTGGCATGTGTGGCTTTTGTTTAAAAAGATGTGTTTGGAACAATGGGGTTGTGCCCACATATAATTAAAATAGCATAAAATTCCGGATAATTTCCCAGCTGTGAAATGTTAAAGGTCACCGTCTGGCCTGCTTCTGTTGGCTGCTGTGATGGGACGCAGCCTGGAGGATGCTGGGATGCCCCTGACCGTGTCTCAGCACCACGTGCTCTTATTGTGCCAAGAGGGGCTGTGGTCGCCAACCGGCTTTCGCTGCTTCTACCGGCAGGAAGCCGCAAGCAGGAAGTCAGAAGTCCAACCCGTCGAAGAGGCACCGCGACCGGCTGAACGCCGAGCTGGATCGCCTGGCCGGCCTGCTGCCCTTCCCCCCCGACGTCATCTCCAAGCTGGACAAGCTGTCCGTCCTACGGCTCAGTGTCAGCTACCTCCGGGTCAAGAGCTTCTTCCAAGGTAGGTGTCTGTGTACTGACTTATTTCGCTGACAGTCTTGTCCAAAGTGACGCGTGCATTTTGGGAGAGCACAGTCAGCCAGAGTCCCCTGGGGGTTTAGGGCCGTGCGCAAGGGCCTAGTGGTGAAATCACTCTGCTTAGCGCAGGATTTGAACCAGCGACCCTCTGATGGTCACCTCCCTGGACACCCCTTGTGGTTGAAACCCCTCCCTGGACACCCCTTGCTGTTGATACCCCTCCCCAGACACCCCTTGCTCTGGATATCCCTCCCCAGACACCCCTTGAGGTTGATACCCCTCCCCGGACACCCCTCGCTGTTGATACCCCTCCCTGGACACCCCTCGCTGTTGATACCCCTCCCCGGACACCCCTCGCTGTTGATACCTCTCCCTGGACACCCATCGCTGTTGATACCCCTCCCTGGACACCCATCGCTGTTGATACCCCTCCCTGGACACCCCTCGCTGTTGATACCCCTCCCTGGACACCCCTCGCTGTTGATACCCCTGCCTGGACACCCCTCGCTGTTGATACCCCTTGTGGTTGATACCCCTCCCCAGACGCCCCTCGCTGTTGATACACTGAGCCTGGCCTTATTGTGATACCCGCATACACTGTCTTGCGAACACTGGTAAACAAAATGGTTAAATTGCGACCAGTGTTTGGTAACACTAGATGTCTCGTGGACAATCTTGCAATAATGAAAATATGGGGGCTGCCTATTTCCATACAGGCCTTTCATGAAGAGCTTCCAGAACACCAGCTGGTGTCATTACAGCCCAGATGCCCCCCAGTGTCAAGTTTGGGGGCTTTTGTCCTGGCAGTTTGGGGTCCCGACGCGTTTTGTGATCTCACACTTTGCAGAAGCAAGTTTCTTTACCTGCCTGTCAATAATACGGCAATCCACAAGCCGCTGAGATATTTTGGTCGTCAGTTGAGGAAAACGTCGGTTAGATGATATTTCTTTGATCTTTTCCTCCATTGTGAGTTTCATAGGTTTATTTTTCAGGGATATATTCAAATGAATCCAGCCCTAAGGCTGAGGAATGTTCCTTTATACATCCGTCATCCTCACTTTCCTGATCGCCATCTAAGGTCACACTCCATATCTTTGCCTAGTTTTGTTTTCTGGTATTTTTTTCTTCTGACGTGAGTCATATGGAAAATGCCTCTTAATTTCTGACATTTACCCCTCCGGTTATAAAAACTGTGTCACAAGGACATGTTTTGGTAGTTTAAAAACAGTGTCACTTTTCCCCCAAGTCCATATATTTCTAATAAACAGACTTGACTGTATCTGTATCTGATCTCGCAGTCAGACAGCTGATACTTCGCTATGCTTCAGTCTGTGTAGTATGTTAGTAGCATTGTGGCCTTTGACGTCGCCCATGGGCTCTGTCAGCTGCGACCGGCTTTGGGTCTGATACCAGCAGGTATCATGACGCGCTCCGTAAAAATGCTGCTTCTTCTGTTTTATTGGCTGTATACATTTCGTGTGTATTTAGCCTTTTTCTGTTGTCATGTTCTTATATCATATCAGTGGCAGCAGATGCTTAAGACACACACACACACACATAGACACACACACACACACACACACACACACACACACAGATACACACAGGGGCGCCATAAAGAGGTACCCCTAAAAACGGTCAAATGTAATTGGATTGTTCTGGGTTGAGAGTCGAAAATGATTCTCTTTCATGGGGCTCAGAATTTCTAGCAGCCCCCCCCCCTCACACACACACACAGTGGGAGCTGTATTGCAGTTTTAATGTTGATTTCTAATTTACGATCTAGGCCTGTAAATCCAGTGTGTAGATGCGAAGGACCTTATGTGATCTGGAAAGACAAATATTGGCTGAAGGGAGGGTAATAATGACAATATTAAACATCACTTTTAGTTTTCACTGTTTATTTAAATGAGAAGAGCCGTATGTAATACAGACTATGAGCTGTAGCTTGAGCTCCCCCCCCCCCAGATAATTAGGTAATACACTCCGCTGTCAGACATTACTTCTCTAATCACACCATAATACCTCAACTGCTGTTTTTGATTATACATGAGGCACGTCGATGAAAAAATACAGAACGTTCTCCAGCAAGGAACTGCAGTGCAGTATGAAAATAAGATGCGGAATCGATGGGGAAATGTACACCTGAGCATAGTTTGTGAAGATAATTTCCTTTTGGTGCATATACTTGTTACAGTGATATTCTTTATCTTTATTCCCATTTGCGTATATGTCTCCATGGCCGGCGGCTGGTGGATTAAAGGAGATTTCAGAGCTTGTTGTCAGGTGTTTATCCTGAGGACTGACACTTGGAGGTGTGTCGCAGATGGCATCTGATTGGCTGAGTGATCAGTCAGTGAGAGACAGGTGAGCAGCGTGATTGGCGGCAGTCTAGCTCTGCCTGTGGCTCGACACCCAATCAGCTTGCAGCCAGTGGCATTGTGGCTTTCTGCCAGCTTTTCTCACAGTCCACAAACATGTGGCTCAGTGTCCTAAACTTTCCCAGAGTGTGTAACTGTGATGTTTCTCCTGTGATTCCCACTGCATTGTTGTCTTTTATTTTGGCTGGAAAAAAAAACAAGAACGAAGTACAATTTAACAGGATTTAATTGTCTGTTTTGGTATGATTTCATATTAATAATGTTGTACTGAATACAATAAAGTTGAAGGTTTATTAATTAATTTTCCTGCTTAATTAAAGATGAAACCTGTGGAAGCAGAACAATAAAGGACGTTCATGGAGTTCCTTCCTAAGAAATGTGCTGCAGCAGCCTTTCCTAAAACACTCGTTAGCTCTGAAAGCCGTCCTCAGGAGCGACTGGCGACATATTTCCTGAAACCACTAGGGGGACGATGACAAACCTGCATCTACTGTAACAAGCGCCGAGTGAGCAGGCAGAGATCATTAATGGAAAGGAAATTTGATAAACATGCACAAAACCATTCGATAGCAGCTGAGATGGTTTGCTGAAATGCTGAGGCGTAGAGCGTGGATTAAAAACACTTAAATCTCTATTCTGCAACAAAGTGTGTTTACAGAGATTAGCTTTAGTGCCTTGTTGAAGAGCATGACTGCCTCTTCCTTCTGTCCAGATGCTCAGTCTCTCTTCCTCAAACTTCAGTTTCTCAACCGGCTGCCCACAAGCTGAATCTTCAAGGGTCGTACCGATAGTATGAACTTCCCGCAGAAGACTTTTATTACGAAACCAAAGTCGTTTTGGCAGATTTCCCCCCCTGTAGCATGACATTTTTAAGCAGTCATTCTCGCTGTTCTGCTGTGTCATCTGAACGGCAGCAGGGTGACGGAATAGGCGCCTATCGGCCGCCCACAGCTGTCGGCCGTGTGCTTTTCACTGTCTGAGTTACGTTTCTCTGCAGCTTCCAGTGCAGAATTCTGGAACTTACAGGACGCTCTTATACAGACACAAAGCCGGTTAGGAAAATAACGAGCCTGAACCCCTAGTTAAAATTTGGCAGGCCCCCACTGAAATTCACTTCTGGCTGGGGGGGCTGCATTTATGGGTAGTTAATTCATGCAAAACAGTAATGGGAAGGTAGTTTTTTTGCACATTTAATCATATCATATGGAACAATACGGCAGCGTTATACACTGATGATGGAGCGTATGTTTGATATTTTGCTTTTTAAGTCTCTCAGGCTTTGAGGCAGGTCGCTCTGACTTAACCGTCTAACATCCCTCGGGACTGACCTCAGACTGCCGGTGCATGAGGCAGACCGGGCCGGGCTGAGGATGACGCTGGCGTGTGGCGCAGTGGGCTAAGCCTGTGTGCTTGTGATCGGGAGGGTGTCGTTTGAAGGCCGGCCTGGGCACGATGGCCACGTGTGTGGGCCCCTTGCCCCCCAGCTCCATGGGCCCCTTGCCCCCCAGCTCCATGGGCCCCTCGCCCCCCCAGCTCCATGGGCACCGCTGCAGTAGGCGAAAAGTCGTTATTATTTCCAGAAAATGTGCGAGCTCCATTTCTGAGGCTGTGCTAAGCGATGGGCCGGTTCTCACCTGGGCAGCAGTCCTGCGACCCGCCATTGCTGCGCTGAGTGATGTCCCAACCCTGCTTTCATAACGCATGTCAGAGCTGTCATGCAGGCACCCGTGTCACAATGACACCCCCATGCACAGGATGTGTAATGTCTTAACACCAAGTTTAACTCTGGAGTTAGTGTTGCACAAGTTAACCGAATATGAATTCATTTGGAAACTTTCTCCACATGCATACCTCATAATATACATGTAAGTTTAGGTGACATGAAAATAAAAATATCAAAAAGCATTAGTTAATACATCCATCCTTCCATCTTACAACTTCTAATCCCGGTCAGGGTAACAGAGAACCCAGGAGGCTCAGGGTACAGCCTGGTTAGAATGCCAGTACATTATACACCATACACCATACATCATACACCATGCATCATACACCATACACCGTACACCATACACCATGCATCATACATCGTACACCGTACACCGTACACCATGCATCATACATCATACACCGTACACCATACACCGTACACCATGCATCATACATCATACACCATACATCATACACCGTACACCATACACCATACATCATACACCATACACCGTACACCATACACCATGCATCATACATCGTACACCGTACACCGTACACCATGCATCATACATCATACACCGTACACCATACACCGTACACCATGCATCATACATCGTACACCGTACACCATACACCGTACACCATGCATCATACATCATACACCGTACACCGTACACCATGCATCATACATCATACACCGTACACCGTACACCATGCATCATACATCATACACCGTACACCATACACCGTACACCGTACACCATGCATCATACACCGTACACCGTACACCGTACACCATGCATCATACATCATACACCGTACACCGTACACCATACACCATACACCGATCGCTTCTCAGCCTTGGCTAAGATCAAGTGTAGTATCTGTTCTTATCAATTTAATATCTGATACGTCCCCTGTCTGGGGGCCATATACTAAATTTATTTTTGGAAGAGGGAGATGGAATAGGGGCTTGCTCTGTCCAACCCACGCGTCGACCTGGTATTGCAGTATCTGCAGGAACGGTGCCCCCCTATCGGGGATAGTTTTAGGGGCAGTGGTGGCTTAATGGTTAGGTAAGCGCACTTGTAACTGAAAGATTGCAGGTTCGAATCCCCGACCAGCAAGGCATCACTGAGGTACCCTGAGCACGGTACCACCCCCAAGCACTACTCTCCGGGTGCTGAATTAGCTGCCCCCTGCTATGTCACGATGTCACACATGGATTAAATGTAGAGGATGCATTTCGTTGTTGTGTGCTGTGGTGTGTCAACAATGACCACTGATCAGCTAATTCTGAATTCACATAGGCACAGCACCCCCAGTGTCAGGACAGAGAACTGTGGCAGAGGATGAGCCTGGCTTCAGGGTGCCGTTCTTCCTTGATTTGTTTCCCCCATGTGCGTGATCGCTGTGCTGACGTGACTTACTTTTATTGTGCAGCAGTCCTTGGACCTTTCAAAGGCACCCCTATTTTACATTTTTATATTACGTTTTTACATTTTTATGCTTATAATTGCTGGCTGTAAGAAAACATGAATGAACAGACCCCCATAAATATGGAAAGACGTCGCTTTCATTCAGTATTTCATAACAGGAACGCCCCCTTCCTCCGTTCAGCTAATTATATTCATTTGTTATAAGCTTCTGAATGCTTCTCAGGGGAAATATATTCTGAGTTATGATGAAATATGACTCTCCAAGTTCAACAAAATTTTTTAAGTGATCAAATAGCTCCTTTTTGCTCACCAGAATGCGAGCTGAAAAGCTTTTTCTTTGTTCCTGTGATACTTAGAGCGTGACCAAATCCTTTGATTTTTGTCTTGTCTCACCGCTCAGGCTACAGAGTTGAATCCACATAAAACGGACATGATAATGCATTTGACTGTCTAAGACAAGACGACAGACTTGAGCCCACGCCTTCAGAGAAACCCCTTGGCCATTATCTGTCATTGCCTCGTGGGTGAATGTTTCTTGCCCATCTTTAATGCTGGAGTTTGCAGTGCGTGAGGTCATGAGCAGTGCTCACACACCAATGGCTGGGTGTCGTTCTGAAGATGACTGTGCTGTCAGAACAGGATGTATCGAAGACCTGAATGCGCTTCCACATCCTGTCCTTCCTTACAAGTCTGACTGCAGCTTTTAAGTCTGTCTTAACCATTTCATTCTGTTGCCACGGCGCTGACCGGGAAGCCCCGCCGTCATTTTCCTGATTGGCCGTCCCACTTGCCGCCCTCAGCGTGCTCTTCCTCAATTGGCCAGGTCTGCCGCAGATCAGACGGTGGTTTGTCTGAGGGTTATTTTAGCTCTTCCACACGAAGCTGTTAGATCACCACCCCTCCACTTCTGTGACAGCTGCCTGGCTTGGATGTTTAAAGCACATTCTGTGAATCTGCATCACGCTTATGTCTAACGGCGCCTCCTGCAGGCGCCTAAGCCAGTGCTGCGCATGAATGCATGTGTAAATAACACCTGAAGCATCCCACTGCATTAAATTCATTTCAGTTAAGCCAGAGTGGAACTCCTGCATCCCATAGACACTGAGGACCATATCTGTGTATCACTGCACTCTGAGGACCAGATCTGTGTATCACTGCACTCACTGAGGACCAGATCTGTGTATCACTGCACTCACTGAGGAGCA